ATGGTCCCTTTAACACATTCTGTTGACTATATAAGCAACATTGCGCCTAACTCTCATTAGAGTATTAGTAGACTGGTTAGAATAAGTTGACATGTACTTGCAAAGTTACTTATAGTCAGTAGAATGTCTTTTGGGAGACCATGACAATAAAGAGTTAGCAGATATTAAGCAAACAATCTACTAATACTCTGATTAGAGTTAGTAGACATGTAGGTGCAACATTACTTATTGTCAACAGAATGTTCAAAAGAGACCACCAAAATAAAGTGTTCCAATCAGGAGGGACCCTTTGACTTGGTCAGGGGATGAAATCGTTCATCCCCACCTGGAATTGTGGGTTTGGCCTCTGAGGGGGCCCAAACCATGGACTTTGGTCCATCAACTGAGGTTGTTGAGACCATACCCCACTCCAGAGCTCACTCCACGAGGAAACTGTACTCCTTGAAGTGGGATGTGTTCGCTTCATGGTGCGGAAATCGTCAGCTGGTCCCAGCTAACTACCTGGTTGGTTCAGTTCTGGAGTTCCTGCAGGGACGGTTCTCCACAGGGTTGACCCCCTCCACCATGAGGGTCTACGTGGCAGCCATAGCTGCTTACCATGCCCCTTTGGGTGGTCAGTCAGTGGGAAGAAACCTGTTGGTAGCATGTTTCCTTTGTGGTGCTTTGAGGCTTTTTGCATCTGGACCAGGAGAAGTATGGCAGCTTCTATAGCCTTTTCTCAGGCTTTTCCCTGCAAGATGCGGCAGGCTGGTCCTTTCCACTCACATTTGTTAGATTTTGCAATCTAGATTTGCGTACTCTCAATACTTCTGCCATGATTTACTAGACTTACACGATACATGATGATTTACTGTACATGATACACTAGACAGGCATTTGTCAGCATAGCGGAGTGGGTATTGCCATTCCCAAAGCGTTTCTGAAGGGGAGTGTCTGTAGATTACATATGTAACCATGGTTCCCTGAGGGGAACAAGATGCTGCATCTCCCTGCCATACTTCCTGCATCCCTGTGAGTGGTATGCTTCGACCTATCAGAAGCTAATGCTGTTTGTTTCGGATGTTCTCTACATCACCCCGCCCGTGATGTCTCGCCATTCCATTGGACTGATTTCACACATGCTTCAGGACACTGTCACGCAGAGGCGCTTCTCAAAGTGTTTCTGTTGCAGCGTCTCGTTCCTCTCGATGAACCGTGGTTACACATTTTTTTCTGTAGTGCTGCAGAGCTATAATTGAACATTTTTCACCATTCAGTATAAAAGAGAATGCATGTTATCCACAATGGCTGATATATTTTTGGGCAATGGAGCCTTATGTAATTTTATCTTGAGATACTAAACACTAAATATAGGTATAGATGGGGACCAAAAAGTGATCACTGTCATTCCAGACCTGTACCAGACTTTCATCTGTACTAGGGATGTGCATCTCATGACTGAGGCCGATACGATACGCATCTCGATACATAGCCAACGATACGATACATTAAAGATACATATGAAGCAGCGATGCGATTCACCCCTATTACGATGCAGTGCGATCCAATTTCGATTCGATTCGATTCAACACAATGCGATTCGAGACAATGCGATGCAATGGAAAAAATATGATCACTTTTAATGCCTCAAGGCCTGTTTCATAAAACAAGTTTACCAAATAAGCCAGGCTTATTTCAGTTAGTCTGACTCATTGTCAAATGATTTGGTTCCATAAAGCAAATTTAACATAGACCAACTTCAGTCACTGTGGCAACGTATGCTGGGAAACTTACCTGGTCTAAAGCAGGTTAACTGTCAGACTAAGCTGAGTTCCTCTAACACTGACCACTGACCAATTATTTATTTGACTTTTTTTTTAGTTTCTAGCCAAGCAGAAAGTCTCTCTCTGGTTTTATGACAGCTGTACCTTTGCAGAACAGAACATTACAATCAAAAATTGCTCTTTAAAGCATTAAAATAACTAAATTAAAAGTTAAAATCACTGAATTAAAATTAAAATAAATAATAAAGAAAATGACTTCTAAACTGCTATAAGAAACACACATTAACTCATTTGAGCTGAGTAATTAGTACTGAACTAGCTTACATTTGATTTACCCACAATAGTCCCTTTACAGTTACCTACTGCTATCATAAAAATACACTTATATGAAGGTTTAAAATTCTACAAAAGGCACATTTAATGTCCAATAACCAATATTTTAGCAAAATGTATATTTTACTCAGAATTATTGTGCTCCTATTCGATTGCGTGCCGTCTGTTAGCACGCATGCGCGCAGCTGCGCTCGTTCACTCGTGTAAGCCTCGCCCACTCCTGACAGCAAAATGGATATATTTGCATGACTTTCTAACATTTACAGATCGCAGTGGAAAAGCGCCATAACTGTCAGGCTAAGCTAAGTTCCTCTAACACTGACCAATAGGAACACAATGATATTACCACTCTCTCACATGCTATTATTTGACTTTTTTTACAGTTTCTAGTCATGCAGCCTTTCTCTCTGGTTTTATGACAGCTGTACCTTTTATAGTTTGCAGAACAGATAGCAGAACATTACCCCGACTGATTTGTTAGGTTATTTCAAGTCAGGTTTTGGACTTTAATCCCAGTTTTTTCTTGGGTCTTCGTGGTGTTGTGATGCATCATATTCACGCAGCAGCGGTGATGAGAGAACGCGCTTGACAATCAAATACATAGATCACAGATTATTCGTCACTTTCTAAATAATAAAAGTATAGCGCATCCACTAGTACTTATATATAAATAAATCGTTTTTTACCGATGCAAGTATGTTAGATACGATGCATCGCGATACAAATGCCGACTTGTAACCAATACTAGTGTTGGGTCATTCTTGAACGATTCGTTCATTTTGAACGAATCTTTAATATAATACACACTTTTTAAACTGATGCATCGTATCGTTAACTTTTTATGCCGATGCACCGAGCGAATCGGGGAATCTTCCCATTCCTAATCTGTACAGTAGAACACAAAAGAAGTTATTCTGAAATTTGTTCAGTCTTTAATTAATGTCTGTAAGTATATAATAAGTTGCAGATCAACCACATCGATCTGACTCACTGCACATGTCTGTTGCCTGCAGTTTTTTCTGGCCAGTTGCCTTGTTAGTTTGTGCTGTCTGTGTAATAGTTCTTGTTTGTGTATGTGTTGCAGCTGCTCTCCGAGAGCCAGATTAACATGGTGAAGGTTGTCAACTCTGTGAGCGATGCTCTAAATGCCATGCAGAAGGAAACTGGAGGTCTGAAGGCCAGGGTGAAGGCTGACCTGCAGAGGGCGCCAGTCAGAGGAGTTCGCCTTAAAGGCTGTGCAAATGGTAGGGGATCCATCTCCTTTGTTTATGTTTGGGGTTTTACCTCTGTGTCCATTGTCCATTTGATCCACTATATACTTTTTAAAAGTTTTGGGGTCGTTAGGATTTTTTTTTTAATGTTTTTTTTCTCTCTCTCTCTCTTTCACTTATGCTCACTGCATTTTCTGAGGAAGTCTGCATTTACTTTAGGAAAAATACATTAAAATAGTAATATTGTAAACTGTTATTACAACATAAAATATTTGGTTGCACTTTATTTTAAGGTGTCCTTGTTACAGTGTAATTATACATATAAGTACTGAGTAATATTAATTAACTACATGTACTTACTATATGGTTAGGGTTAGGATTTGGGTTTGGCTTAGGGTTATTTGCATGTAATTATGCATAATTAATTGTTATTATAATAGTATTTATTGTTACATGTGTAACAAGGACACCTTCAATTACAGTGGTACCAAATATTTTGTTTCTGTGTAAATACATTTTAAAATGCAATGTATTCTTGTGATGACAAAGCAAATTTTTTCAGCAGCCATTACTCCAGTCTTCAGTGTCACATGATCCTTCAGAAATCATTCTAATATGCTGATTTGCTGCTTAAGAAACATTTCTTAATATTATCAGTGTTATATTTTTTATATAAAAACATGTAAAAACATGATGTTCATCAAATAATAACAACAGCATTTATTTGAAATATAATTTTTGTAACAATATAAAAGTATTTGCTGTCTCTTGTGATCAATTTAATACATCCTTGCAGAATAAAAGTATTATTTTTTAGATTTTTAAATCTTACTGACCCCAGACTTTTTAATGGTAGTGTATGTTTCATTGTTTATTCATGTGTCCCTCATCCCTCCAAGCGTCCATCCATCCCTCTCTTTGTCCCAAGCAGTCAATATTTTTGTTGACATCTTTCTCTTCTGAGAACCATTCAAAAATAATTTGTATTTGCTTGCAATATATGTATTGCTAATATTTCTTTATATTATAGTGACTAGTGACAAGTTCCTTTTTGGAGGCTTATAAAAGTGTGAAATTGACTTTTTTCCCTGTCATGCTTTTGATATTACAGCTAATGATATTTGCTATTGAGGAGTTGGATTCTGAATAGCATAGTAGCATGCTGCTCTTACTATTTCCTGTAGCTCCAGAGTGATTAGTCACATGGCATTTTTCCCTCAGGTGATTGGCTTTGAACGTTCCATGGCCCAGTGAGCTAAGATTCAGATGCAGATCATGTACTCTGACATCAACTCAGAATCACAAGCACTTTGGTCCCCCTAGCAGAGGCGCTCTGATCCTCCTCTCATTGTTGACTCATTGATTCTCAATCCAAAGAACATCAGACAATTTCACGGAAAACGTGAAAGTGAAAGTGACGTGACATGTGGCCAAGTATGGTGACCCATACTCGGAATTAGTGCTCTGCATTTACCCATCCAAAGTGCACACACACAGCAGTGAACACACACAAACCGTGAACACACACCCGGAGCAGTGGGCAGCCATTTATGCTGCGGCGCCCGGGGAGCAGTTGGGGGTTCGGTGCCTTGCTCAAGGGCACCTCAGTCGTGGTATTGAAGGTGGGAGACAGCGCTGTACATTCACTCCCCCCACCTACAATCCCTGCCGGTACGAGACTCGAACCCACAACCTTTGGGTTATGAGTCCGACTCTCTAACCATTAGGCCACGACTTCCCCAAAAACTGTGTTTAAAAAGTGCACATAACTATTGTCTTCTTTTTGTGTCCCCGCTGATCTGAATTCTCATTAGACGAGTCGCTGGAAGCAGACTCTGTGGAAAGTGTCTGTGCTTAAATTGTGCTCTTGGGAGGCCTAATGTGTCTGAAAGCATTTTACCACTTTACTTTTAAGGCCCTGATGTCTCTGTTGGAGCCACAGGTGTGGCTTGTAATGAACCTCAGTATGGAGCAGACACTTGTATGCAAGTGTGTGCCAGTGAAAGAGGGTTTTCTATAATTAGGGAAAAGGATCGCTCTTTTGGGAACAGAGACCAGTAAACTGAGAAGCACCAGCTGCCTTGGAAAAACCTGTGCAAAGTCATGTTGGCTAACCTATAGCGATATCCCTTTGGTCATTAAATTAGCCTTGGCCTAGTTTAGCTATTTAGCTATTTGCTATCTTGTAACTATCTGGTGATCTAGTCTTTGTAGTTTGTGTCTGACTCTCTCTCTCTCTCTCTCTCTCTCTTTCTCTTTTAAGGCTCTCGTCCACGGGACTGTAGTGATATATATGCAAGCGGTCAGAGACAAGATGGCATCTACTCTGTTTTTCCCACTCATTACCCCGCCGGCTTTCAGGTCTACTGTGATATGAGCACGGATGGAGGTGGCTGGACGGTGAGTCACATTAACACACATGCACATTAGTTTGTGTGAGTTTGTAGTAATATGCACCTCCTGAAGAGTGATTCATTGGTATTAGTGGTATCACATCAAAGTGAGGCTTTAATTTTAATGTAAATGTGAACGAAATGGGGAAAAAGAAGAGAAGATTATTGTGTTTCAGGGTTCTTCTTCTCAGTCACTTATGGATTTACACACATGGGGAAGAACGGCCCCCACAAAGAAAAGATGTGATGTTGGATTGTCATGTCGATTGACAAGTAACCTAAATATTGAAGTAGGCATGTCCCACTAATTGTTTAATGTGGTTAGGACTTTAGTGGTCTAGGATTGTCATAGATTATCAATTCAGTGATTTGAAGGGGCAGCAGATCCACAAAATCGGGCTTCCTGATCCATATTGTCAGGATTATGGACCTGTTTTGTTGTGTTTTCCCTCCCCATGTGCTCCGTGACCCAGTTTCTCCCTCTCGTTGATTGTTCATTAGATTCTGGTGTGTCTTGTTTCTAGTCCTAATCACCACATGTATTTTAGTTCCAGTCTGTGCGTTCCTCCTTTGTCTGGTCTACTATGTTGTGTTCGTGTGTCTTCTCCCCCGTTCCCTGTGTGGATATACCCAGTGTCTTTGGATCTATTAAAGACTGTTTCGATTACCCACGTCTCCGTCGTTCCTCTCCGACACAGACCGTGACACATATACACTTGCCAACACAAATTTAAATGGATTTACCCAAAAATATAAATTCTTTCATAATTTACTCAACTTCACGTAGTTCCGAATGTGTATGACAAAAGATCAGTGTTTTTTCTCTATACATTGAAAGTCAATAGGGACCAGTGTATTGTTTGGACCCCAGTGTTCTTCATCAGTCAGAATATCTTCATTTGTGTTCTGCAGAAGAAAGAAATACATATAGATTTTGAAAATCATGAAGGCATGTAAATTATGACCATTTTTACTATCCCTTTGAAGGACTGCAGAAGAAAGAAAATCAGTTATGGAACGACATATGCGAGTAAATCACAGGAGTTTCTATTTTGGGTGAACTATCTGTTTAACAATGCACAAAGCATACACAGATTTCCCAAACCAAAAAATATCATTATTTATTTAATCCATCACATTTCAAGCTGTCTGCTTTGCTTTTCTCTCCATTTTAAATCTAATTTTAAAACCCAGATTGGGGTAGGCTAAAAGCACAAAAAAAGTCAAATGTACTTTTGATGTTATATTACATTTTATGCATCTAATCTCTCCAACCATGTACTGTTGCACTAATCCACTGTCTGGTTCAGTAATGACATGTAGATATACTGATGTCTTTATTGAGGTTCTTTACAGAATGAGGCTCAAAGTTGCTGTCATATTTAGCTGCTTAAAATGGTGAAACGCATTGTGAAAGCACTTAGTGAGATTGATATAATGATGACGATATGATTCTAATGATAATGCTGAGGGTCGTTATTATTATTACTCTAGGTTTTGAGATTGTGTAACCACCGGGGTCTCCCAGCGTAGGATTGAATCCTGCTGACTACGGAGGCTGTCCTTTCCAGAACTTTTCCTCAGCGATCAATAACATCTGCATGCATATCTATCTATCTGCATGCAGTAGCACATTCTGAAGTCATTCGTCTATATTTAAATATGAACATCTCACAGAACAGCAGAATATGACATGTTTTTTGAGAATGTGAGAATATGAGAGAGAAACAATAGGAAAGACAGTTTCTTCAGTTGTGGCAGCAGCACAGATGGTTTCTCTGTGCCCCATTCCAGCAATCATTGAGTGTGCATGGGCATATTTGAGTGTACTGTATATGGGAGTGAGTAAAATCAGTGACATCATAGAGGCTGGTGATAGAATGAGAGAGGTAAAAAGAGAAAGATGTTGAGAGGAAGTGGCTTGAGGCGAAAGAGGGTGTATGCAGTCTGTCAGGCTATTAGTTCTTCATAACTGTCCCACTTTCTGTTGCTCAAGAGACTGTTGCAACTAGGAAAGAAGACACCCACAGTCATAGTGTGTGTGGGGTGGGGGGTTGTACTGGTGTTTGTGTATATTGAGGGGAGACTAATGAAATATAAAAATTAAATGAGCCAAAGAGGCGAAGAACAAGAAGAAAGAATGAAGAGATTCAGATACACTACCTTTCAAAAGTTTGAGTTTTTTTTTTTTTTTTTGGTAAAAGAAATGAATACTTATATTTACCATGGACACGTTAAATTGATCAAAAGCAACAGTGAAGACAATTATAAGATTTCTATAAATAAATGCTTTCTTTTTTATGTTTCGATCACCATAGAAAAAAAGACTGCATGTTAAACTGTTTTAACTTCGATAATAATAAGAAATATTTCTTGAGCACCAGATCAGCATTTGAAAGATTTCTGAAGGATCATGTGACTCTGAAGACTGCAGTAATGGCTGCTGAAAATAAATTACTTTTTAAAATATGTTCAAATATAAAACAGTTACTTTAAATTATAATAATATTTCACAATATTGCTGTTTTTAATCAAATAAAGGCAGCCTTAATAAGAGGAGGGCCGGTGTCCTCCAGAGTTTAGCTCCAACTTGCCTTAACACACCTGCCTGGAAGTTTCTAGTATGCCTACTAAGACCATAATTAGCTAGTTCAGGTGTGTTTAATTAGGGTTGGAGCTAAACTCTGCAGGACACCAGCCATGCAGGACTGAGTTTGGAGACCCCTGGATAATACAGAATAAAAGTATTTTCACTCATGGTATCAGACTTTTGGACATCAATTGTATAGCCAATTTATTAAAAAAATACTCAAGAGAAAGTAAGGCATTAGTTTTGACATGGAAGATGGCTTCAAAATAGTGGTCCAACGACATTAATTTCTTCAAATTGTCAACAACAGAAAAATTTGTATGCAATAATGTGACAATTGAAACATTTTCCTAAGGTGCTCTCACAAAAACCTAGAAATTGAAATTAAATTTGATTATGTATGATCTAAGATGGCTATTTTTTTTCTCTCAACTCATAATGACCTTTATTTCCATTCCCGGCTTTCATTTACTGTAACTCTGAATACATATTTTGTCTAGTTAACTGTGTGTATACAGAAATGAGCCGTAATTGCGGGCTTAATCTGCTGCTTTTGTTCCAGCACTATCATTTGTGATTTTCAGTACAAAAATGGGTCATCCTTTTTCACCGCTTTAAGCTTAAACAGCTCTTCAAAACACACACCACCTTCCTATTACAGACTGCACATCCACAATCACCTCACTGGGAGTTTAGGATGAATTCAACCCACTCTGATCCATTTTTTGGACATCTAGTAATTGATTGCATCTGTTCCGAAAGTCATGCACTGTCCAGATGATGTAAGCTTACAGTGAAGTTTGCCACCCCTACAACAAATGGAAACTGAAATGGAAGAATTTATAGCCTGAGCCACTTTGAGCCTGTGCAGTGACCTACAGCTTTGCTTTAATATCAAAATGAGACCTCTCAATCCTCTCATTCTTTACTATGTAATTCCTGCCCTCGTCCTTTTGTTGCCTCTTGTTTTCATTTCAGCAGGGAGCATGACAGAGAAAAGAGAGAACACTTCTTTCTGCCAGACACTGTGAGCTCCTATAAATAGGAATGAAACTTTTTTTCCTCAGCATTAATGCTAAACAGAGAGAGAGGAAAGGAGGAGAGATGCAGGGAGGGCATGCAGGTAAAATAAATAAATAAAGTTTCTGCAACACTGATATTTTTTTGGGTAACACCTAAGGCATTAACAGATGAAAGAATAGAGGTGTCAGTCAAGTCTTTTGACTTGATCATGCATTACAGGCTCATTCTGTCTATCTCTTTCTTTCTCCCGGCTACCCTTTCTCTCATACACACATACAAGCACACATCTATGCATTCATGTGTGCAAAAAAACCACAAGCTCACACGCATTATCACCTGTGGTGGTGATATTCTGTATTCCGTTCCTGACCCACGCTCTGCCCCGAGATAATGTATTCCACTATTATTATTTTATCTGCTAAAAGGAGAGGACTAAAAATTAGCACTCTATAAATCATTTATGGGAGCAGATCTATTAGAGTGCTACGTGATCTGGCATTATCAAATGGTGCTTTTATCAAAAGTACCCACAACTCCTCTCTGAAATATTAAAAAAGCACTAAGACCTGAAATGTAAAAGTTTTAGATTGAAACTCAATTTGTGGACTCAATGGGGTGGGGGATGCACTTGGAATGCAACTTGTTTTTCTTCCCTTTCTAAAAAAAAAAGGTTTTCAATGTCTGGCTGTTTCGTTTTGCTCATTCATGTTTCATTGCACGGTTGTATATATCCAAATGCGTGTTTTTAAGTAATTGCGCAGGGCGAAGGCTGTGTCATAGGTTTGTAGCTGTGATTAGATAAAGTAAGCCTCTATTTTTGTAACATGCTACGTGGTGTAGGATTTATGTTTTGCGATTAGGTTTTGAAATGAAATGAGGGGTTAGAATTCAAATTGTAGAGAAATTGAGACATATGGACATAAAAAAAAATAAAGCATAGCAGGAAATGTCAAATTATTGATTTATTGTTTTATTTTTAACTGGAAAAGATTGTGCAGAATTGACCTTTTGGGAATGACCGTCTTTAATGGTAGATACGTGTGTATGTGTGGTGTAAACTGTTTATTTTGTGCTGTTTGGGAGTACATAAAAACACCCCTCCAAGAAATGGAATCAAGCATTACATTTTACAATAAAGTTTTGTATATCAATATTAGTGAATGTATTAGGCACCATGAACAAACAATGAATAGTAGTTCCTATTATGTTTTTTTTATTTTTTCACTTTATTTTTCTAAATTAGGTTTATTAATAATTTACAGCAATTTTAAATCTTGCTAAATATTTAAATATAGCCTACCTTTTTATTTTTACATATGAACTTTTGTTTAACTATTATTATTATTATTATTATTATTATTATTAATTTGAGGCATTTATTAATGTTTATATAT